CATCACCTGAATAATGTAAATAAGAAGAAAATCTATGCATTTTCACTTCAAGCTTTCGAAATCGGATCCAAATGATGAATCCTCCTTCTTCAATGTAAGTTTTCTCTCTTTGTTCTCTAAAATGCGACTCTCCCCTTAAAAGTCACGCCAATTTTCTTTTTATACCAACCCTAAAAAATTACCAAAATAAGATAAGGTAAGAAAAAACGTTTTTCTCGGGTAGGCTTGAGGCGCGCGCCTAGTAGGAACTAGGGAGCATGCCTTGGCATTTTGCCAAGCCTCAGTCAAGGCTTGGTTGGGGTGAGGTGCGCGCCTCACCTGCATGCGAAGGTGCGAGCCTTAGGGAAATTTTTGGGGCCAATTGCAATTTGGCCCCCAATTTTCCACTAGCTCCCGTTTTGGCACCTCTTTCTCCAATTCATCCGGTCCTCGCTCTTCTCTTCATGTCCAAATGACTCTTTGCACTCTCGATTTTCTTTTTTCGCTCCGAGCTATCTTTTGATTATTTGCATTTTAGTCCTCATCTCCCTTTTTACATCGATTAACTCCCTTTCTTGCATCATTTTCTCCACTTTCGTTGTATTCGTCGACGTGAACCTAAATATCAAGTAAACCACATTTTTATCAACAATTCCATCCAAATTATCACAAATATCCATATTTTGACAACCTAAATAAGTGAAAGAAATGCACTTATCATTAAACATGATTTCTAATAGTGCATGTCTTTCTTGTTTCTTTTTTGAATATTCTGAAATTTTATGAAAAGCAGAAGGAAGATTAAGATTCAATATGCACTTGTGGACATTCTGTTACTCAACTGTAACTTCAACCTATATTTTTTTTTGTCAAATTCTTATGATCAGGCAGAGGTGGGTCATAAATTAATATTTTCCTTTGTATATTAAGCTAAAGACTATAAGGATGTCGTCCCTTGTTTTTTTTTCATAGACATGATTAAAATTTTCAAAGTCCACTACTAGGGAATGGGGGCATGGGGCTGTCAATCCTGTTAGAACACGCAGAGTAATTTTTCAAAATCACATTGCTTGTGAAGCCTCGTGCGAATGAGAGTAAGGCAATGGATCCTCATAGATACATCAAAATCAAATATATTGCAATCAGTACCCATAGCCAAAGTTAACGAGCACCGATTGTTTTCTCCAATGTTTTATTTCTTTATCGGTGCAACTTTCTGGTTTTATTACGAGAAGATTTCTACCAAGTCAAATGGCAAGTTCTACATATTGGTTAATATAAAAGTTACACCGGTTGTGAATATTAACTATTTTTTAAGGTGCAAGGAATTTAAAAGGGTATTTAATTGTTCACATTACCCTAAATCCTACTTCTGAAGCCGACAAATTTCTAATCCTTCTTAGTGATATTATGATTCATGTGTTTTGGCATTAGTCCAACAGATCGACGTATTTTCTTTTGTTTTTTGCATATTAAGGAATACTAAAATGGTGGTGAAATACCATGAATCTCATTACCCTTTCATTAGCTGCTATTTTGCTCTTCGCGTAAACTTCCTCAATATATGGTAGTGAAATGCTATGAGTCTACTAGGGAACTCAACGGGTTTATTGTACCATTTAGTAGAATCTTGAATTCTGTTTATGGCAGTAAGAATCTTGAATTCCTGTGAGTTTTTTTTCGTGTCTGTACTGTTCATTTGTTCTTCTGATCAAGCAATTATTCTATAACTTCGTCTATCACTGATTATGTGAAGATGATAGAAACACTTTTCCAATTTTGTAGGGACCATCTCAATTAAAGGATTCTCATTTGCACATTAGTCAAACCTTCATGGACATCTTATATAAGTGCTATAAAGTTGTCACCAGTTGCAGTGAGATGAAGAGCGCCGTGTTTACTCGACGTTGCTTTTTATGTACATTGAATTCAATTTCTATCTTCACAATTTCAGCATTGTTATTTCTTATTTTTTTATTATTCTTTGTTTTCTTCTTCCATTGAGAGAAATATGAAGCTTTGTGCAGCATGTAGCTAATTGAAAAGGCTCATGCTTTGCTAACGTTTTCCCTCGCATGCGTGTTCTATTAATTTGTGTTGGAATAAGATCACATGTTTTGTTTAACTACTCATACAATCTTCCAATTTATCTTCTCATTATTCTGCACATTTGGCTACAAAGGCAGTGATCACACTTCAACTGGTTGTGCACTGTTCATTTGCCAGGAAATCAAATTCACAGTCACAACTATAGCATTCCAAAGCCTTTCCAAGATCAAGTATGTAACAAGTGCAATGTTTTCCTTTCTTGTTAGAAATTTCAAGTCAAATTTGAAGTGGAATCACTGTTTGGATATAATATCACTATGCAAATTGCAAAGGCCGAAACAATGTGAAGAATGTAGAATCAGAGATTTGGCCTCTCTTACAAACTCAACATAATTCATTCCTTTTTGATGTTGTGTACTCATTTCCTAGTATTGTTTAAAATATAACACTCTAACATGTATATCTACCCACCCGCCTTATTCAATTAGTGCCCATATCTTTCATTAATCTTTAACTTTGAATATGCTAACATTACCTGAAAAATAACGCAACCCCATACATTGCATGGGCAAATACTAGTTTGAAATAAAATTAATGTGAATCTAACATAATGTGAATTTCTCAGTGGTTAACCGATGGTTACACAATCCCCCTTCTTCACCCTCCCAGTCTCTCCATATAATAAAAAAATATTTAAAAAAAATAAAAACTCAAGACCTTAATTAAATAAATAATAATCAATAAAACATAAATTTAATATTCAGTCTTATTAATATAATATAACTTTAAAAAATAAATATAAATATATTTAAATTTAATTATAATTTAGTATATATAATATTTATAATTTAATTAAAAATAGACATTTTTCACAAAAATTAATGCAAAAAGAACAAAAAAGTTATAAGATTCCATTCTAATTTTTTTTCCATTGAAAATAGAGATAAATAATAAGAGAGAAAAAGAAAAATAGAAACAAATATAATCAATAGAAAAAAATAAATTTTAATCTAACTCTAATGTTAGTAAAAGGAAAAAAGAAAAGAGAAATATTGAAA